CCCAGGGTCACTAACAGGTACACACCTGTTGTGCACACATGCCTAGTCGTGTGACGTAGGCTTGTGTTAAGAGGCCGTCATGCACTTGGACATGTTACAGTCAACCCACGGGAATTTGCAGAGAGCCAGCCATGAACTACACACCCTGTGGATGCTGGGTGAGTTACGGGCTTGTGATGTTAAATATCTTGTGGTTTTCCTGTACTCATTCCAATTCCAGAACACGGGGACCCACACAGGGCTAGTGCCTGGGAAGCTAAGGGCGAGCCTCCACAACGATTCTGGGGGCAGAGGGATGGGGGCACTAGGGGCAAAGATTCTGGGGGCAGTGGGGGCTCAACAAAAGCCAGAACCCTCAGTCCCTGAGCGACCTGTCTGCTGAGGTGCAAACCCCAGGCCCCCCACTCTGCACCCATCACCCACCCCACGTAACCAGCAGCCCTGCCCAGTGACCGGACAGACTGAGAGGGGCAAACCACTCCTGGGAGGGCTCTCAGCCACGGAACCAAAGCCCAGGCATTCCGGCTGGGCTGGCCCGGTGCACGGCTATCATTGGCTTCATTCAGGGCCTCGTGATCAGGACCCTGGGACTGACCAGGCTCATCAAAAGAATTGTCTTCAGGGGCTCGAGTGGAAAGCAGATGTTTTGAGAATGATGAGGGCAACAAATGTGCCAATGTGCTTGACACAATGGATGGATGGATTGTGATAAGCGCTGTACGAGCCTCCAATAAAATGATTTAAAAAAAAGAATTGTCTTGCCTCAGAGGGGTCTGTCCAAAGAGCAGGGACTTCAGGGCCCGAGGGCTCAGAGATTACCAGCACCACCCTTGTGTGGCCCTGCTGGCCCCGGCTGACCCTTGGCTGATTGACATTGCCCAAGCCAGCCTGCCCTGAGGGAGCTGCCAGGGCTGGGGAGTCCTGGCTGCTGTTCCAGTTTGTCCTGCCAGCCTCTTGCCACCCCTGCCCAGGAGTCCCAGCATTTCCTCCTGGCACTTCCTCCTCCTCCTCCTCTTTCCTGGCCCTCTTCCGCAGACACCAGCTGCAGGGCTTCTCAGTAGGACCAGTCCCCCACCCCCACTCCTAGGGCCCCTCCCACCCCAGCCCCTGGTACATCTGGAGGGAGAGGGGCCTGGTGATAGTGTAAAGCGCTTTTGTTTCACGTGACAATAAAGGGCCCCTTTGCTAAGCTGTGTTGGGGTCCTGGTTGGGGTCCTGGCTATAGATGCAGACATGCCGCCTTTAACGCAAACTCGCACCCCACACGCACCGAGCCCCGGGCAGGGTGCACAGACTAGCACACCTGAGTGTAAGCACACACCCAGCATCTCGGGAGGAGGTGGAACACGTCCCTGGGCCCTCTCAGCCCGTAGGCTTTGCCAGCATCTCTTCCCACTGGGGAGCTTTGGAGGGGTCCTGAGACCACCAGTCCTCTCTGTTCTAGGGACTCAGCCAAGTGGAGTTTGGGGGATGGGGCACACAGACCCAGCCCACCTCTGCTTCAGACTGGAGGCCTCCAGACAGGAAATGGTGAACTCAACCTAGTGATGGGAGGGGGGTCTCAAGGATGAGAAGCGTTCTGGGGCAGGGTTCTCTGAAGGGTGGGTGGCTGAAGAAGGGACATTTCAGACTCAAGGGGAGGCAGCAGCTCCCAAGGGCATATAGGGTGGGAGCCTGGCCTGCAATAGCACGGGGTCACACTGAGAACGCAGGGAGGGAATATGCAGTCACAGGAGGACCAAGCCACTCCCAAGCTGGTGTCAGGAGGAGAGAGGTCACAGGGGGGGCAGAGGGGTGTCTTCTGGAAGCCTGGGGCAGAAAAGTCCAGTCGCCTGTCTGGGAGCCTCTGAGCAAACAGGCCATGGCTGCAAAGGGGAAAGGGCGGTCTCCCTCCCCCCACCTCTGCCCTCCTCCTCCCCTTGGCCTCTGTCTCTGCTTCCTCTCTTCCCCTGGTGGCACAGTGGTTACGATTCGAGCCCCTAACCATAAGGTCAGCAGTTCGAAACCACCAGCCACTCTGCGAGAGATGCCGGAGAAAAAAGAGACTTTCTACTCCTCTAAAGAGTTACAGGGC